CCCACTTTCCGTAAAGGGAAGGATTTGAACTGGTGCTGGAGATGTGCAAGGCTCTGTTATTCTCCCTCCTTAAGTTGTTGACAGGACACAGTCCCCTCTCTTACCTGTCATTGAAAGGTCCTTCTAGTTGCACTTATGGCAGTGTCACTTTGTACCAACATCGGCCGTGCACTGTAAGGCTGCTGAGGTTTCCAAAATCCACCTTTTTTATTTCTGCTAGTTCTGCTTCGTATCCTTCAAGCCAGTACACAAGAACAAAGCTTCAGCAAAGCCTACCTAACATTTTCTTTTGTTTCTGACATCATTAGCCAACGTAAACCAAACCATTAACAGGCATCCAAAAATATTTCTGGAAGTTTTCACGTGCTCGGTGAGGATTCCAAAGTTTTCTTTGAGGGAGACTCAGGGAGACTCCAGAAGAAGATTTTTGGTCCAGGAAAAAAAAAATAAATAACGCAGCTGAAGCCCAGGCACCGTTGTATGAAGCAGATTGATTAACCTTAGTGCTGCTGCGTTCCCACTGGAATACACACTGGAATGACACTGGAATGCCGCCGTATTTCCGACTGGCCGCCCGGAAGCGGCTCCTGCCGTGACTCCCAGCGCGGCAGGATCGCCTCCCGCTCCCACCCGGCACACCCAGCCTGGCCTCGCCTCCCCTCGCCCGCCCCGATCCATCCCGGCCCGCCCCGATCCCACGCGATCCTCCCTCCTGCCCGGGTGAGTGCGGGGCCGCGGGACGGGAAGGGGCTGGATGGAGGCGGCGGGAGCCGGGAGGGGGGAGCGGGGACACCGCGTGTCCTCGGAGCCGCTGTGCCCGGCGGTATTCCCGCTGTGCCCGGCGCTATTCCCGCTGTGCCCGGCGCTATTCCCGCTGTGCCCGGCGCTATCCCGTCCGTGCCCGACGCTATTCCCGCTGTCCCGGGCGGTATTCCCGCCGTGCCCGGCGCTATTCCCGCTGTGCCCGGCGGTATTCCCGCCGTGCCCGGCGCTATTCCCGCCGTGCCCGGCGCTATTCCCACTGTGCCCGGCGGTATTCCCGCTGTGCCCGGCGGTATTCCCGCTGTGCCCGGCTCTATTCCCGCTGTGCCCGGCGCTATTCCCGCCGTGCCCGGCGCTATTCCCGCTGTGCCCGGCGGTATTCCCGCCGCTTCCCAGGGAGCTGCCGTGGTGTGGGAGGGAACAGCCCTGGCGGGGAGCAGCTGCTCCCGTGTGGGGTTCTGCGCTGGGCTTTGTCCTCCAGCCCGGCACGGAAGGAATTGGGGGTGCTGGTGGATGGAAAGTTGGGGCTGAGCTGGCGCTGAGCTCCCAGCCCAGAAATCCGGGCGTATCCTGCATCCCGTTCAGCGGGCCGTGGGTGAGGGAGGGGGTTCTGCCCCTCTGCCGCGCTCTGGTGATTCTCCACCTGGAGCGCTGCATCCAGCTCTGGAGCTCCCAGCGTGAGAAGGGCACAGACCTCTTGGATCAAGTCCAGAGAAGGCCAGGAAGATGATGAGAGGGATGGAGCAGCTGCGGAGACAGGCTGGGAGAGTTGGGATGGCTCAGTCTGGAGAAGTCTCTGTGGAGACCTCCTTGCAGCCTGTCAGTACTTAAGTGGTGCAAGAAAGATGGAGAGGGACTTTTTATGAGGGCCTGTAGCTGCAGGACAAGGGGCAATGGGTTTAAGCTGAACGGTTTAGGTTTAGACTAAATGTAAGGGAGAATTTTTTTCTGCTGGAGGGTGGCGAGGCATTGGCTCAGGTTGCCCCGAGAAGCTGTGGATGCCCCATCCCTGGCAGTGCTCAAGGCCTGGTTGGATCCTGTTGGATGGGGGTTTGAGCAACTAGATCTTGTGGAAGGTATCCCTGCCCATGGCAGGGGGCTTGGAACAGCTGTAATAACCAGCAGAAGGCTACAGAACAGCCCGTGTTGTAAATGAAGCTGCGTTCTATGAGTAGTAAATATCTGAATGTAACTTCTTTAAATCAGTGTGAATGAGCTGAGAGGTTGGTACAATGGATTTAGGTCTGGAATTCAAAACTGTTAATCCAGGCTTGGTTGCATTTGTGTTGCTGTCATTTGGGGATGTCAGCTTTAGATCTTGGTGCCTTCAGCAGCATCTTCAGATCTTGCTGTCAGTCAGGGACTGATTTTCAGTCTTTAATTTTTTACGCGTTCCCTTGCCTCGTGCTGCAGTTGGGAATGTTCATTCTCTCAGGAAGGGGGTGATGTGAATTCCCTCCTGCAGGGCTGAGGTGACCCTCGGTTACTGCTGAGGGACAGGCTGTGCAGGAGCTGCTGATGAAACACTGCCCAGGAGTTAGTGGGCCAGCAAGGGTGTCCTGCTGCACAGAAGAACTTAGTGCTGCATGTAAATACCAGAACTGGAGTTTAAGTTTCAAAGTACGGGATCTGTGTAAATAAAAGTATCTCAACAAATTGATAGCATTTCCTATCAAATGGGTGTAGGGAGTAGAGCTGTCATTTTTACTTAGAAATTATGGCATCAGCACGTTCAAACTTCTCAGGTGTTGGCTTTCCAGACTTGCACAGTTACCTACCGTTACTTGATTTTCCCCTTAACTTTCCTGAGAATTTGGCAGCCAAAGCATTTGTAGATCAACTTCTTTATTTTTGCATAATGGTACACAGTCATACTCTCTGCCTGGGAAAAACAAAGTAAATGACTTCCAGCTTTAAAATGAAATGTCTGTGCTTGTATGAAAGAATTCTTTTTGTTCTACATAAACAAAGTTTGACAGCTCGACAGGACTGAGAGCAGAATCTTGGCCTTTTAGTTCTTAAACTGGTAAATTTTACAAGTTTTAAACTTGTAAATGTAGTAATTACAGAGCATCAACAGGAAGGCCTAACAATGTTCCCTGTCTTCTGTAAACTGTTAATGCTTTGGAGCAAATAGTGAGGCTCTGAAACCAGAGCTGTTCCCGGGATGCTCTGATATCCCACTGGGTAGGGGAAGAGTTGTTGCTCTGGGCCCATGAGCTCTTGAGGTTGTGTTGCTGGTTGATTGTTTTGGTCCTCTCTCCTCTTGAACAGGAACCATGCCCAAGGAAGGAGGGAAGCATGCTGAAATGGGAAAAGAAACACAGGCACAGTGTAAACGAGCAAAGCTGGAAGCAGCTTGTTCTCCCTCAGTCCTGAGTTTTGAGAACCCAGACAGCCTCTTCGGGAGCTTGATCTCCCCCATCAAAGAAGAGGTGTTTTTCAAGGAGTACTGGGGGCAAAAGCCACTGCTCGTGCAGAGCAATGATCCCCTGGTGGCTGCTTACTCCCTGTCCCTGTTCCAGCTGTCAGACTTGAAGGAGCTGTGCAGCCAGGGCCTGTACTATGGGCGAGATGGGAATATCTGCAGTGTGTGAATGGAGAGAAGAAGGTTTTAAATAAAGAAGGCAAAGTGAATTACGTGCAGCTGAAGAAGGATTTTGACCAGAAAAAGGCAACAATACAGTTTCATCAGCCTCATGCACCATGGAAAGGTACCAGCCCATTTTAGCTGAGTGTTCTCAGTCCTTGAGTTTGAGAAGGAGACAGTGGTGCTGCACAGTTGTGTAAAGGACTTGGATTCTTGGAGGTGCTTTGATTCAGGTAGTCTTGAAGGTGTCAACACAATTGAATTGTGAGGTGGACCCAAATGAGATCCCAAATACAAGCTGAGTCCCAGGTATAGTGTTCCTGGCTGCTGTCAGCTTTAATGGCCAAGCTGCACTTGTGTGGATCTGGTACTTGGCACGTTCTGCTGTTTCCCTTCGGTGCCTTGTCTGTCACATGTGGGGTGTGGATGAGTCAAGTTTGGTTTTGAATATTCCCAAATGACTGGAGTAACTGGTGAAAGGTCTCTAACCTTTGTGTGTTCTCTCTGGTGAGAGAATGCAGGTCCTGCATGTGCTTATTGTCTTATGGTGTTCTGCTGTTTGTGGGGTTATTTTCCTCTGTTCAGCCTTGTCTGTCTGGTTGTGCAGCCTAAAGATGGCACAGGGAAGAGAACAAACCCAGGTTGGGGCACCAGACTTTTTGGCTTAGCAGTGACTCTCCTGGCAGATCCCCTTTGCATCTCCAGTGCTCTCCTTCAGGAGAAACACTGGTACAGAGCACCTTCCTTCCCAGCCTCTGTGTCCCTGATGTGATCATTCTTCCCAAGCCATGGGGAGGATGTGGGCTGGGCTTGGCTGAGCTCTGCAGCAAGTAACAGCATCTTTTTTTTTACAGGAGGAGCTGTGGAAGATTTTCAGGAGAAGCTGGAGTGCTGCTTTGGGTCTCTGGTGGGGTCCAATGTTTCCATCACTGCCCAGGGATCCCAGGGCCTTCCTCCTCACTATGATGATGTTGAGGTAGGACAGCACAACCTTGCCTGGGAAATTGTGCATGGGCTTTTGCTGATGGCAGTGTTTGCTGTTGTGTGTGTGCTTCTAACCCTCCCCCCCACTAAACATTATAGGAAAATGGTTTTTTTTTATTTGTGTTTCCTTGTGGTCGTTTTTCTTACGTATTTTTCCTGAAAATTTACTAATAGAATTATCTAATCATAATAGCATGTAAACTGGGTTTTCCAGACCTGGTATTTCCCTTAGATAAAAAGAGAAGTTTGTTTTCACAGCTGCAGAAGCTTTCTAGCACCTGTTTTTTCATTTTCACTTCATTCAGGCCCCAAGAACTTACAAGTCCTTTTTCCTTTACTAAGTACTTGCTCTTTCTTCAGCTGGACTGTAACAGCAGACTGGTTGTGCTTGTTGGTCCTGCTGTTTTTAAGAAGTTACTGATATGATGAATTCCTGTGGTCCAAATGCATTTTAAATCAGCTTCTAAAAGAAACATACAAATATACACTGCGTTATAAAGAAAAAATTGGACTATCCCACTTAAACCAAATCAAAAAATCCAAGCCTTATATGTGTATTTTGCTTTTTAATATTTTCATTTCCATTCAATACACCTGGAGTTTCATTTTCCTTATGCTTGTTATTCAGCAGCCTCACATCCAGCATTTCTAACTCATGCCATCTACCCCCACTGGGCACCCTATAGAGGTTTCTGATGCTCTGTTGGGGATAAGCCTCTTTCACCTGAAATTTTGGCTATTTGTGTGGCAGATGTTCCTTTTGGGTTAGTTCTCTAGCACTTACTGAAGTGACTGGAAAGAAACAGGGATTTCCAAATGCCTGCCTTAGGATAAAACAGATCCCACTTCACAACTCCTCTGTCTGTTGTCTCTAAATAGAGACAAAAAAAATGAGTTCAAATTTAAATTTCTCTGAATTGTAGCCATCTAAAAATTAATGAGGGGAGGGTTTGCACACTGCGAGCACGAGAAATTTGGGTGAGAGTTGTCTGTATCCTTTTTTAAAGGTATCCTTTGCTTCTAGTATTTAAATAATGGGCCAAAAACCCCCAGTTATTTCTGTAAATTGACTGGTACTCTCCAGGTTGGGCACCCTGACTCCTAGGTCATGTTTGTGGAGTTGTGTGCAGAAAAAACACTGGGTTTGTGTATGGTTCTAAAACATTTTTATGCTTTTACATGCTGCCTGTAATCCCTCAGGCTAATCCTTCTGTGCACTGAGACTTACTGCTGCACTGAACATTGTCACTGTTCTGGTGAATGAGATTTAAATATTTATCCTTGGCTGATAAAGAGAAGCATGACCCAAACCCCATATGAACTTGCTGTATTAATTGCTCTTCCTTTTTCCAAACCTGAAATTCAAGTGTTTGGTTGGTGGTTGATTTTTGGAATGGAAGGAACATTTCATGAAGATTACTGAGTGTCAGCAGGGAATCTGGTGCTTGTCCTGTTCTGTTTGACCTGCTTTTGAAGTGTTACTTGTCCAGCTGGTGGTGCTGCTCCATGCTGGAATCCTCAGGAGTTTCTCTGCCTTTTGGCCTGTTATGGAGCCTCTCTCTGCTCTTCTCAGTGTCCAGAGCTGCATTTGGGTGTCGGTGTTTGAGGAATAGTGTGACATGTTGGATGGTGTAGGTGTTTTAGGAATAGTGTGACATGTTGGATGGTGTAGGTGTTTTAGGAACAGTGTGACCCATTGGATGGGATGCTGACATCATGAGCTGTGTTGTTTGACAGAGGGGAATATTCAATCGTCATCGTGTACTGGGTGATGCAAAGTCTGGTAAACTACAGTTCCCTTTTTCATTCCTGGAATATTTTGGACCAGACTTCAGTGCCTTTCATTTTTATGGAATAATGATGGGCTTAAAAGTTATCCAAGTTTTTAATTTGTTTTTCTACTGTTTGCTGTTGTTCACTTCCTGTGACCCATTTCTTGTGGGTGGCTGCTGTCAAAGTTTGGTTGTCTCTTTGTGGCTGCCTCTGAGAGGGATGCTGTTGTTTGACTCTATTTCCTCCCTAAACATCTTTCTAGAATATTTCCTTTCTCCATCTTTCAAATGAAGAGAATTCAGAATACTCTTGGTTGGTGTAGTCCCCACTCTGGTAAGGAAGGCAGTTTTCTTTGACTGTGCTGTCCAACTCTATAGGTGTTTACAGGACAAGCCATAAGTAAACTTTTATTTCCTTCTTGGAGGCAATTTTATGTGCTTTACACCTTTCTTGTCTTGACTTTCCTTATCTAGTTTTTTTTCAGTGTGGAGTTTTAATTTACATAGGTGAGAAGAAAGATAGGGAGGAGGAGGAGGAAGGTCGTACCTGTTTTTTAAGTGCTTTAACTGAAAATCTCAGACAACAGTATTGTAACAGATTACCATTTTTATAGACTATTTGGCTTTTCTCGTGGAATACTAGCCTTTTCTTTTGATGTGATCTGACCAAATCCCCATTTCACTGCTCCTCTGCCAGCCCACTGTGTTGCCAGCAGGTCCATCTCAGCTGCTTCTTTGTCCTCTTCCTGCAGCTCAGTGGGAGTCTGTGTGTTCTGTGATGTTAAAAAGCTTGTTTCACGTTTTCAGCAAATATTGACAGCAGGTTGGAAAGTTTAAGGTTCTGAACTTCTGGCTTAGTGTTCTTTATGTTATTAAAGTGTACATTGCAGGACTGCTCCATTTTGTGATTCTAAAGGATATATATTGTCAGACTGTCTGCTCAGGGAGTATTTTCTCTGACTGCAATAAGGTTTGACCTGGTGCCCTAAATATATCAATTTTCTTGCAGCCAGGTGACTTACTGTACTTCCCAAGAGGGACCATCCACCAAGCTGACACTCCTCTTGGGACCTCCCATTCCACACACGTGACCATCAGTACCTACCAAAACAAGTCATTATTCTTTATCTTTTGTTTTGTGTGGCTTTCCTCTGCCAAGTGATGTGTGTGAGTAGTACAGACCTGAGATGTGGTGAAGTTTTGGGGCTTGGGGGAAGGAGGGGAGCAAGAAGACTGTTGTTGTTTGAAGCAGCCTGTTTGAGAGGTTTTCATGCAGCAAGCTTGATTGCTTTTTAATTGATTATTTTATTATTTACCAGCTGTAGGCTTTAATGTGGAAAATGCTACAACTGCAAACTCACTTCTGTATTTAAAAAAATCTCTCATCAGTGGCTGAAGTTACTGTTCATTTCATAGCTCAGATAAAGAGCCATGAGTTACTCCTTTCATCATGTTTTCTCCTGTATTTGATAGTCACCTGCACTAATCTTCTGACAGATTTGCTGCCAATTCTTCCTTGCAAACCTTTTCTGCTTATCTGTGTTTTTTTTATCTCCTACCCCATGTATGCAAGTCAGATTTCTTATGACACACTCCCAGTCCTTGTGCCCACACTGTTATCACACAGGGAAATGTTCTTGCCAACCTAATCAGCCTCCCAGATGCTGGGTTTGGAGCCATTGGTCTGAGTTAGGAATTAGGAAGGGCAGAACAAGTTTGGGCATATTCTAGATAACTGTGAGATGAATCTCTAACCACCAGCTGTGCCATTCTGGAAGCCAGGATGGGCTGGTAACTCTTCATCTGGCCACTCCTCCAACCTGGAGAGAGGGTTAAGAGGAAGCTGCTCAAAGGTGTCAGTCTTCTCAAAAGTTGGGTTCAGATGATTTCAATTTACACATGTGTTCTTTTATTCAGAAGGTAAAAAAAAACTAAACCCAAAAAACAGGAGAGGAAAAGGAAAAGCTGCTCTTCTTCCAAGGTTAAAAAGTGGAGTCATCCCCCGTTAAGGCTGTTGGTGATGAAGTGCTGACATCCTGCCTCTGCACCTCCTGTCAGCAAGGGCAGGGAAAACAAGCAGGAGTCCTGGTGCAGGCTGGTGTTCTGACTTGTAGATGGAAGTATGATCTGGAAGCATTTCCTTGGCAAATTGAAGAGAAATCCTTGAAAGCAGCTGTGGAGGAAGTGCTGGTGGAGGTGGCACTTCCAGGTATTTTCAGGTTTGTCTGGGCCAGATCCCAGCAGGAGAGAAGTGTGCACATGTGGGATAAGCAGGGCAGTTTGGGAAAGCAGCCCCTTCAAAGCCCGGCTCCCCCCAGCTCCCTTTGGGGGTGACCCCCCGCCCCTCGCGCTCCCTTTGGGGTCCCCCCGCTCTTTCCCCCCCGCCGCTTTCCCGCCGTGCCCGCCCCGCTCACCCGACAGGGCGGGACCGGCAGGGACGGGGCGGGGACGGGCCGAGCGCTGATTGGCTGCGGCGGGGGCTCGAGAGGCGGGGCGTGCGCAGAGCGCCATGTTGTCTGCGGGGCAGCGGTAGCGGTGGAGGTGCGGCTGCGCTCGGAGAGCGCGATTCTGGGGATCCGCTCGGGGCTGCGGGGAGCGCGGCTGTGGGTGGGAAGGCTGGAGGGCTCGGGAGAGTTTAGCAGAGGGGTTCGGGGGTTCCCGAGCAGAGGGGTTCGGGGGTTCCCGAGGGTCAGAGCGCGGGGCCTGGAGCCCGCGCGGGGGAAGGGGGTGGGGCTGTCCCAGCGCCCTGGCTGCACTGCGCAGGCGCGCCGGCGTTACCCGCCGGCATTACCCGCGACCCGCCATTACCCCTCCCGTCACAGCGCCCCCTGCCGGCCCGGCGGACCGACCCCAGGGAAAGGGGATCCCAATGCCCCCCCCGAACCCCAGAGACCCCCAACACTCAGCACACAGAGACCCCAAAGGGAGGGGGGCCCGGGGGTCCCCTAAAGCCCAGCAGTGGGGTTCAGGGGATCTCCCAACCCCCGAGGGGAGGAGTCCTGGGGGTGCCCCCCAAAGTCCGGGGGGGAGATGTACCGCATCTGGGTTTAGGGGATCCCAGTGCCCCTCAGTACGGCCCAGTAACCCCCTCAGTGACCAGCCAGTGTGTCCCAGTGACCTCCCACTGCCCCCCAGTATGGCCCAGTGATGTTCCAGTGAGCACCCAGTAACCCCCAGTATGGCCCAGTAACCTGCCAGTGTCTCTCCCTGTGTCCTGATAATCCCCCAGTAACTCCCCAGTCCCTCCCAGTGCCCTTCCAGGATCCCTCAGTAACCCTCTAGTCCCTCCCAGTGCCCTCTGGTTCCCCCCAGTGTGTCCCAGTATCCTCCAGTAATCACCCAGTGCCCTGCAAAGCCCCCCAGCTGTCCCCAACGTGTCCCCAGATGCCCTTGGCCTTTCTGTGAGCGTGTGGGGGGGCATTTTTGGGGTCAGAGGGTCCAGGGGGGGCTCTTGGGGTGAGATGGAGGGTTGGGGACATCAGGCATGGCGCTTGGGGCCAGTGGAATTGGGGGTGTCAAGGGGGGAATAATGGCAATGGGGAGGCCCTGGGGACACTGGAGACACCAGGGTTGTCTTGGAGTGTCAAGGGGGAATTAGGAACACCAAGAGGGTCTTGGGGACACCGGGGAGGTCTCAGGACTCAGCTGCTCTTGGTGCAGCCCCTCATCTCCCCCCCAGACCTCTTTAACCTCCCCATATGTCCCTTAACCTTCATTTTCCCTTTAGTCCCCTCCCCCCACAGATCCCTTTGATGCCCCAATGCCCCCAAAACCTGTTTTAACTCTCCCAAATACACCCAAAGACCCCTAAACCCCCCAAATTCCACATCCAAACCCCCAGATCCCTTCAGATCTCCCCCAGCCCCCCCCTCAAATCCATTCCAACCCCCCCCCCAAAGAGGGGGGCACCCTGGCACCCTGGGACAGGAACACAGTGGGCTGTACTGGGGGCACTGGGCTGTACTGGGAGGGCACTGGGGGGGCTCAGGTGTCCCAGGACAACGTGGCCCAGCTCCAAGAGAGATCCAGGGAGCAGTGAGGAGGTACTGGTCTGTACTGGTCTGTACTGATCTGTACCCCCAATCCCCAAAGCCCCTCCCCAGCTCCCCCAGGACCCTCCCGCCCCCCAGGCCCCCCCAGGCCCCTGACTTGGTCCTGCTGCCCCTTGAGCATCTGCAGCTGCTGCAGAACCAGGCATTTCATCAGCAAATGTGCAGGTGACCCCAAGCTGGGGGTGTGTTGATGTGCTGGAAGGCAGGAGGGCTCTGCAGAGGGACCTGGCCCAGCTGGATCCATGGGCTGATTGCAAGGGGATGAGGTTCCAGCAGGCCAAGGGCCGGGTCCTGCCCTTTGGCCACAAGAAGCCCCGTCAGCCCCCCGGGCTGGGGCCAGAGTGTCTGGAGAGCAGGCAGGCAGAAAGGGAGCTGGGAGTGGGGATGGACAGGAAGCTGAAGAGGAGGCAGAGTGTGGCCAGGTGGCCAAGAGGGCCAATGGCTGGTGTCCTGTGTGAGGAAGAGTGTGTCAGCAGGAGCAGGGAAGTGATTGTTGGGCTGGAGTGAGCGCTGGTGAGGCCACCCCTGGAGTGCTGTGTCCAGCTCTGGGCCCCTGAGTTGAGGAAGGCCCTGGAGGGGCTGGAGCAGGTGCAGAGAAGAGCAGCGAGGCTGGGGAAGGGAGTGGAGCACAAGTGGTGTGAGGAGAGGCTGAGGGAGCTGGGGGTGTTGAGGCTGGAGAAGAGGAGGCTCAGGGGAGACCTCCTGACTGTCTGCAAGTCCCTGCCAGGAGGTTGGAGCCAGGTGGGGGTGGGGCTGTTGTGCCAGGAAGCAGCAGTAGGACAAGAGGGCTGGGTCTTGAGCTGTGCCAGGGGAGGCTTAGGTTGGATATTAGGAAGCAATTTTTTGTCTAGAGAGTAATCAGGCCTTGGAATGGGCTGGGCAGGGAGGGGGTGGAGTCAGCGTCCCTGGAGGTGTTGAAGGTGAGAGTGGATGTGGCCTCAGTGCCATGGTCTGGGAAGCACGCGGGGTTGGATCAGGGTTGGACTTGATGATCTTGGAGGTCTTTTCCAACGTGGCTGATTCTGTGATTCTCTGATTGCCATTCCTATGGCAGCACATGCTTGAGGCTCTATCCCCAGGGTGATAGAGATGTCTGTCCATATCTATCTCCAAGGTTAGTCTGTAAATGTGTGGTGTTAGAAAAGCAGGCTGAGTTGTGGGCTGGTTGTAGAAGGAGAAAGAAGCCCAGAGGCCAGTGCAAGCAGGCAGCCCCTGAGCTTGCACCTGATGTCCCCTCCCTGCAGGTTCCTGTCCTTGAGCCCAGGCCCTGAGGTGAGGCTGAGAAGTGGCGCGGAGGTGAGCCCAGAGCTGTCCCTGAGGTGAGGCTGAGAATAAGTGCAAGGCAGAGGTGCTGCTGAGGAAGGAGAGCCCCGTGGTGGGGAAGAAACAAGCTGTGAATGCCCATCCCCGAGCAGGTGCTGTGTCCATCCCCTGTGTGCCAGGTGAGCTGGGGCTTTGCTGCAGAGCTGCGGGCGCTGATTTGAGCGTCTCCAAGTGCTGAGATGGTGGGCACCCAGGAACACAAACTGTGCCTGGCCACGGAGCCTGCAAGGAGGAGCAGAGACAGCCCTGGCAGTGTGGGGGCCAGGTTGTCCCTGTGCCTTCCCCTGCAGGCCCTGTCTGTCCCTGCTGGGCCCCTGTCCATCCCCATCAGGTCCCTGCCCGTCCCCCCGGGCTGAGCTCCCCCCAGGAAGTGCCGTGGAGCTGAAGCTGCTGCCATCCCCCCCTGCAGCCGCTGCCCCAGCCAAGGGAGCAGCAAAGGCAGGGCCAGGAGCAGAGGCAGCAGCAGGGGAGCCCTGGGGGGGCCGGGAAGGTCTTGTGTGGGTCAGGAAAGAGGCGCTGGGCACGAGGCCGGGGCTGTGCTGAGCAGGCCCAGCCCTCACATCCCCCCAGCCAACGCCTGTGGAGCTGTTTGGGTGCCTTGGGCACAGCCGGCCCTTGTGCAGGGCTGTGCCCTTGGGGACTCTTGGGGGTGGGCAGGAGGTGTTTTTTGGGGGTGCCGGGCTGGGTTGGTGGCAGAGCCCCGGCGGTGGGTGGGGGGATGCAGGTCCCCCCCCACGGTGGGGGTTGGTGTTGCTGGGTCAGGCCCCGCCGGCTCCATTGTCAGCCCGGTGCTGACGGGGGGGACACAGCGGGTTTGGGGCCCCCCGGGAGTGCTGGGGGTGGGTGTGGAGCTCGGGAGCTGTCAAGTGTGGGGGGCGGAGCGGGGCGATGTTGGAGCTGGGGGACCCCCAGCAGCCTGGAGGGGGGAGCACGGAGAGGGAGGACCCTTGGGAGCCTGAAAAGGGGGACGGAGAAGGGGAAACCTGGACAGTGGGGACCCCTGGGATCCCTGGGACAACAAAGTGCAGAACCTGGAGGGGAGAATGTCTGGGAACGCAGCACCCCGAAGGTGAGAGACAGAGGAGAAGGAACCCTTCGGACCCCCAACACTCTCAGCATTTCTAAGTGGGACCCCCGGCATCCCATACAGGGGAGACCCTCCAAACCACACAGAGAAGAGACCAGAGAGGGGGAATTCATGCGAGAGTCTTTTTGGGCTGAATGTTAATAGTTTGGAGTATTTTTTGGCTGAACCTTAACTTTTTGCAGTTTGGTGGGAGTTCATCTTGCTGTTTCTGAGGGGTTTTTGCCTGAATCTGGGTGGTTTGGGTTTTTCTGGGCTGAATCTTGGTGTTTTGGAGGTTTTTATGATCACAGGATGCCTGGTGAGTTCTAGAGATGGACTTGGGCAGGAGGAACCCCCAAGCCAACGCGCTCAGCCCTTGTTTTCCCCCCCATCAGGATTTGTCCTTCCCAAAGCTTGGGCGGATGGAGGAGGAGGCTGCGAGGAAGAGGAAGATGCCTTGGTCCCCCCAGGCAGGTGAGGAGGAAGTCAGTGTCCCTTTGGGCGGGTGTTGTGCTGGCTCTGTCAGCCGAGCATGGCCCCGGCTGCAGGACAACCCCGCTGGCGCCGCCGTCCTGCCGGGGCCGGAGTTGGGGGGATGTCCTTGGCCTTCCCTGTGGGCCGGAGGCCAATCCCCTGCCTGTCCTTCTTGCTTCCTGCCCCAGGCCCCGAGGTGAGGACAGAGAGCCCGGAGGACAAATCCCCCCGTGAGACCCTGGTGGGAGAGGCCGTTTTGAAGGGCTCCCCGGCGCAGGAAGGCAGCGGGGAGGAAAAGGGCCGGAGATCCCCCCGCAGGAGGGGCTCCAAAGCCATCCCAGGGTGCTCTGAGGAGGAAAGAGCAAGCCTGTGCCAGGAAGGCGGCCGGAGCTTGAGGAGGAGCTCTGACCTGGTGGTCCCTGAGCAACCTCCCAGCAGGGAGAAGCCCTTCAGGTGCTTGGAATGTGGGAAGAGCTTCAGGAAGAGCTCTCACCTTCTTACCCACCAGCGCATCCACACTGGGGAACGGCCCTACACGTGTAGGGAATGTGGGAAGAGCTTCAGGGACAGCTCCACCATGATCCGACACCAGCACATCCACACTGGGGAACGGCCCTACACGTGTGGGGAATGTGGGAAGAGCTTCAGGCAGAGGTTCCACCTCCGCACCCACCAGCTCATCCACACTGGAGAACGGCCCTACAAGTGCTTGCAATGTGGGAAGAGGTTTCAGACCAGTGGGAGTCTCCTCCTGCACCAGCGGACGCACACGGATGAGAGGCCCTTCCGCTGCACTGACTGTGGGAAGGGCTTCAAGCTCAACTCCCAACTCCGCACCCACCAGCGCATCCACAGTGGGGAACGATCGTACAAGTGTTTGCAATGTGGGAAGAGGTTTCAGACCAGCTCACATCTCCTCACACATGAGCGGACACACACGGATGAGAGGCCCTTCCGCTGCACCGACTGCGGGAAGGGCTTCAAGCACAACTCCACCCTCGTCAGGCACCGGCGCATCCACACTGGAGAGAGGCCCTACAAGTGTGGGGAGTGTGGGAAGAGCTTCACCTGGAGCTCTGCCTTGACCAAACACCAACGGACCCACCAGTAAGGGAAGCCCTACCAGTGCCCCGACTGCGGGAAGAGCTTCGGCCGCTGCTTCCACCCCGAATGAAGCCCCTGATGCTGAGGCAACCCCTGGAGTCCAGTGACTGTCACTCCATCCCTTTTGACCACAAAGGGCCAGTCCCCTTTCCCAGGGAGAGGTTCTGCCAACAGAACCCTTCTTGGGGGGTGTGTGGAGATTCCTGCCTTGGCTGGGGACCCCCCAAGGTCACTCCTGGAGTCTGAGAACAGAGATCTCCCCCTGAGCGTTGGTCTGGGGGAGTTCCATCCATCTCTAATTAAGAATTATTGCTTTTGTGCCAGCTTTAGTAGAATGGCTTCAACAGTTGCTTTAGTCTAGAGCACTGTCCTGTCTTATCCTGTACTCCTGGTAATTTTAGTGTTTGTATTGTGCAGTAAATAATTCTGATGAAGATCTTTTGTCTGATCATTTGTAACCCCAAATAAATTAATTTCAATCAATAGATCTCATTTGCCATCATTAAAACCTGGGGGACCAAAGTGTTGCAGTCACACCTCTCTAATTCCTCTAAACTGAAACTGTTGGAATAACCCAAGGCTGAGATTGGATCCAGCAGCTCCCAGCACCCCACAGAAATTGGAAGCTCAGGGGGGCCAGCCCCCTTTGCCAACCTGCCTGTGCCCAAAGACCCCCATGGGACCGTCAGACCCGCCAGACCACCCCCCCTTTTTTACCCTTCTCCCTAATCCTTCCACTTTTCCATTGTTCCCTGAATCCCCAATTTCCCCCCCCCCAACAGTTTAGGGGTCCCAACCACCACTTTTTGCCCCCTCTCCTGTGGGTGCTGAAGGAGAAAATGAGGCTGCACACACAGAGTTCCATTTTGGGACTTGTCCTCCCATCTTTCCAGTGTCCCCCTTTCATTGGGGTTCCTTTGGAAACAGCGCCTGGGCTTTGTCTTTTAGTCCACCAGAATTCCCAACATGGCCCCAAGGCAGGGCCCTGATCCCACACATTCCCCTCCCCTCATGTGCTGGCTGTGTTCAGCCACCACAGAAAAACACAGGCTGCCATGCAGAGCGTTCCAAGATATTTCCACTTTGGCAAACAGCCCTCTCTGGATGGAAAACACCAGTCAAGGCCAAAACACTCCTTTTGGATCCTGATTAACTGAATGCAGCTGCTGCTGCCTTAACTTGTTCCCACAGAAATTCTCAGGGTTCCTTTGCTTCCAGGAGGCCCCACATGTCCCAATGGCCCCTGGATTCCATGAGCTTCCCCAGTCTCCAAAGGTTCCTTTAGTTCCATGAGACCCTGCAGTCCCAAAATGCCCTTTGGATTCTCGGAGATTTCCCATTGTCCCAGGGTCCCTTGTGCTTCAGAAGGAGCTGCAGTGGGACAGTGGCCCCTTGGTTCCGTGAGCTCTGCAGTGTTCCAGGAATCCTTGGGTTCCAGGAGAGCCTGCAGTTTCACAAGGAGCACTTGAATGCAGGAGGTTCTGCAGGGTCCCAATGGCCCCTGGATTCTGGGAGGTTCAGAAATATCTCCGGGCTCCCTTGGTTCCAGGAGGACACACATGTCACCAGGAACCCTTGGTTCCAGGAGGTTTGACAGTGTCCCAGAATTCCTTTGATTTCACGAGACCCTGGATTGTCCCAATGGACTCCTGATTCCATCAGCCCCCTCAATGTCCCAATGGTCCCTTGGTTCCATGAGTTTCTGCAGCGTCCCAGGGTTCCTTTTGTTCCATGGGGACCTGCAGTGTCACAGTGGGCCCTGAATTCCCTGAGTTTTCCCAGGGTGACAGTGCTGCCTTGATTCCATGAGATTGCCCAGTGTCCCAGGGCTCCTTTGGCTCCAGAAGGCCCTGCAGTGTCCCAATGGTCCTTGGTTCCATGAGGTTCCACCATGTCCTTGCTGGAACATGCGTGGCTGTAATGCTGCCCCACCTGCAGAGCTGCCTCCAGCTCTGGGCTCCAGCACAGGAAGGACATGGACCTGCTGGAGCGAGTGCAGAGGGGAGCAGCAAGAGGCTCAGAGGGATGGAGCAGCTCTGCTGTGAGGAAAGGCTGAGAGAATTGGGATTGTTGAGGCTGGAGAAGAGAAGGCTTTGGGGTGACCT